GCTAAAATGATAGTTCGTACCCTTCCACAGCAATAACCAGCAAACCACAAAAGACAATGCTGAGTCCAACAGCAGCTGGACACTAGTTGTGTATATCACCGATCCATACAATTTTACCATATTTTTTATTTTTTGTCTATGAAACTACTCCCTTGACTAAGAAAACTATGTGCCTAAAGGCGACTGTAACAGGGTGGTCTGTTTCTTTAAGAGGGAACAGCCAGCTTTATTGAGAGAACCCAGCAGAGCATTTGGAGAGACAGGGAGTATCTTGCTAGGAACTTTAAAAATCTCCTAAAAGGGTAAGCAAGAGAGGAAGGAGGAAGCTGTGGCCATAACTTCCCTTGCTATAAGAAAGGAGCCATGCTGGGAGCCAGAGCCAAAGGGCTCCTTGTCAAATGTGTAGGAGATGGGAAAAGGGCTTTTTGTTTTGCTTGTTCATTTGTTGGACTGTTTGTTGCCTAAAGATGGAGCTACTTGACAGGACTGTCTGAGCAGCTCTGCAGGAAGCGAAAGCCCACCTGCAGAAGCCAGAAGGCTAGGTAACCCGCTCACAGGGACCAATGGCTTGACTTAGTGAGGCAATGCAGATAACAAAAGATTGACGTCATTATCTATCACAGCTCCTGATAACTGTGCAGGGAGGAACTTGCAAACATCTGGAATTTTACCTAAGTCCACAGATCCATCCGAGATGAAAAAGTTAGTAGGCAACAGATAATTTAACTACGACAGTCCCAAAAAAGGAGCATTTGCATTAAGGAAGAGCATACTGTGCTTTTCAAACTGCAGAAAGAACACACATTATGTCCCATATATCCATTTTCACATAATGCTAATAAATGAATTTTACAAAAATTCTAGTTTACCTAGTTCCAAGGATGAGAGTAATACTTATACCAGACTGGTGTATGAATCCTATGCTAAAGTAACCAATTATCAGAATTTTAATTGCTTTAAATATAGGTAGGAGTAAGTGCATACAGCAACTGCCATGCAAGAATGTCAAAATGTTTTGCCACTGGTTGGTGCAGTGGATGCCATTAATGAAAATGTTTACTAGCCAATTCTGAGAAGTACTGATGTAGTTATTACCTGTTCTAAATATTGCCTGCAATATCTGAGCCCACATCTACATGACAACTCAGGAAGTTAAAAGTGAATCAACTAAAGGTATTAACTCAATATATATACAATTGGGTGTATAATCTCATTCAAGAGTCAAAAAGTCCTCAAACTTTCCAGGAGGAACCTGCATAGACCATCTCTGAAAACATTAATTTGTACCATTTGGTAATTAATGGCCACTCTGTACCAATTTTACAGATGGATGAACTGGAGCAAAGGGGGAAAAAACACTGTAGTTTAGAATTTTGCTCAAAGTGATGGAGAAAATTAGTAATAGAAGACTGGCAGAAAGATCCTTTGAAGAGAAATTAGAACAAGAATGGATATCCTAAATATTATAAAGCAAAAAGACCTTTAGAACAGCTCACATGAGAGACAACTGACGTCATAACTAGGACAGCTTAGAACTGTTCACCAACCGTGACAAATTAAAACTTTTCTAAACTTCACCTTCCCCCCAGCCCAGTCATTTTCTACCACCTTCCCTCCCAGCAAATATACAGGCCCAATGTCTGTCAATACTGAATGACCTCACCAAGACACCTTTTGGTGAAGAAAATTTGATATAGAGAAGGGAAGACTGACGTTCAGGCATATTAGAGTACAGCTGTAAGCCAGACAGCATTCTCTGGATAGTCTCCACCCTGCATTTGATTACTGTAACAGGTTTGTATTATCCCTTGTAGTAAGGTAGCTTGGCTCTGGACTAGTTCTTCCAAGTCTTTGTTCCTCCCTAACTGTATTTGATTTAGGTTTGATCTGGTAATCTGGTTCTCTGTGGTCTATCATTTGGGCATCTGGCCTTTCTCCATTCTTTACTGATCAACAGCTACTGTACAGTTATGAGTCATGCTCAGTACAGGAGAGACGTCGCTTAGGCAATGTGTCAGCCATAGACACCACAAAAACTTTCCAGCTGTACCCATGTGCCTAGTGCACAGTTTGATTAGTCTAAACTGCAACACCCCACAGGTAGTTCCTTTTTTTTTTTTTTGATGCCACCATAATTATATAGGTGGCATCTATGCCTAAATTCCACTCAATGCAGAAGAGAGAATGAGGTGGAGAGGGTAGGGGAGGAATTAAGAAACTGGTTTCCAGATCCCTTATCCTCATGACCCTTGTGCCAATCAGAATTAGATTTGCTGGCCTATCTAGCTTGGGCAATGATATAGGCCAGTGTAGGCATAGCAGAACAGAGCTTCTATACCAACTCACTGACAATCCTATACTGGGAATGCAGGGTGGCAGCAGAAAAAACAAGAATATTACAAAAACATACGAAAAGTACATAGATTAGGTAAATAAGACAGGCAGACTCTGGTTCGCCAATATTCTACATCCCAGACTATTTCTGATAAACCTCTTTGCTCATAATCATACAAATTTTAATCAAATTTTAGCATGAGGGTGGATGGAGGCCACATCAATCTGGTTGCTGCCATGCACAACACTGTATAATGCAAATATGCCTCGAAAGCTAGCTGCTAGAGTTATCAGTGATTTCCAAAGTCTGCATACA